GCATCATTCGATTACAAGTTACTGGTGAACATAAATAACACATGATGCTAATATTCCTCATCTGATCATAACGATCATAACTGTTGCACTGCTCATTTTACGAAGTGTTATCTCTTGATTGTTATTTACACTAATTTTTTTTATGCATTTGTTTACACATAAATGCAACAAACAAGCATATCAATGGAATGATAGCAATGAAAGATAACAAAAATGATGCATTCATTCATTTAGTGAAATAAAAATGAAACAAAAAATTATAGTTTAAAAATATACAAATTATCGTACATTTAACCATTCCAATAATTAATTAATTAATTAATCATTTACTCAATAATATTTTAATAAAAATAAGAATGAAATTTCATAGTAATTTGTTGTTAAAACAATAATTTGATATATATTTAATTTTTATAAATTTTCACAGATATTTGAAATTAAATTAATAAATGAAATTTTCATTTGAAAAGATTTATCCTTTAACGAAACGGAAACTAATTCCTTACTGGTTGGCATAAATTGAAATGTAAAGAATTGTATTATATATGTATGTATGATTGATAATTATGCGATATTCTTGCCCGTTGAACATTTTATTAGTTAAAGAAAGCATTTCATGAACAATATTAGCAATGCATTCATTATTATAATCAATGTTGTAAATAAGCATTTTCTGCATGCATAATGCATTATGCATGCAGAAAATTGCATTTCAAATAATTATTTGCAACATTATTTCATGCTTACAATAAGCATACAATATATATATATATATATATATATATATTCATATACATACACGTATATTAATTTTCATTAAAAAAAAGAACAAAGAAAAAAAAATGAAATGTGAACTATATGTCAAAGGTTAGATGTCAACATATTGAAACATTTGGTGAATATCCTTTTATTCAATACGACTATCTTTTTCATTTTTAAATTTAACAAAAGTAATTTAAATTATTTAATTAATATGAATATATTTTAGATGAATTAATTATTGAAATTAAATGAGAAAAAGAGAGAGAGAGAGAGAGAGAGAGAGGGAAAGGGAGGGAGAGAGATGACTTTGTTAATATTTTCTTTGAAAATTAAGGAATTTGTTCTTTTTTTCGAAATTAATTAATCATTTCTCTTAATTAATCAATAATTATGCAGCTTTCTTTCTTAAAATAATTAATTTAATTTATCTAAAATTAATTCATTAAAATTTCTTTCTTTCTCTCACTCTTTCTCTCCTAAATTAATCTTTTTTCCTAATAGGAAAAGAACGTATCGGAAATGCAAAAGAATCTGTCAGATATTCTGAAATTTATTTAGTATTTAAGTTAAATTATCTTTCGATATATAAGTAATAGAATTTTAAAAAAAAATATTAATTACTTCCTCTCTTCTAAAATATAATTTCGTAAATGTATGAATATGTGTTGTCCTTCACTATCACTTCTTATAAATTAATTATACCCAATTATTCTTACACCAAAAATATCCTCTCTCTCTCTCTCTCTCTCTTTCTCTCTCTCTCCCTCTCTCTCTCTCTTTTCTTCTTTTTTTGTTAAACAATTGCGAGGACGAAAAGATACTTATTATTCTGTAAAATAGTAAAAATTTCAAATTATATGAGAGGGACAAAAAAAAGGGAGAGAAGAAAGATTTACACCGATCGTGATTGCAATGCAATAATTTTTTCCAAATTCGAATTGCTTTTTCCTTCCTATCAATTTCCGGAACGGAATTATTATAATAATATAATACATGAGAGGGTGGTTGGAAGAGGAAGAATGAGAGGATATAATATATGAGAGGGTGGTTGGAAGAGGAAGAATGAGAGGATATAATATATGAGAGGGTGGCTGGAAGAGGAAGAAGAATGAGAGGAAATTATTCGATTATTATTATTTTATATTAATTACCTTTTTTTTTATTTTTTAATTTTTGAAAAAAAAAACAAAAGATTAGAAATTTGTTAATTTTATCCAACGAAAGAAAATATTGCAAAGTTAAAAAGCAAAAAGAATTAATTTAATTGAAATTGAATTGAAATTCAAAAATATTTATTGTTTTAAGTTAATTAAAATTGAATTAGAAGTAAAAAAAATATTTATTATTTTAAATTTAATTGAAATTGAATTCGAATTTAAAATTGTCTATTGTTTTTAAATTATAGTACAATTATTTTTAATTTATAAACAAAAGAAAATGAAAATTCTCATAGAAATTAATGAAATAAATTTTTTCATATTAAATTATTTTTAAAAATTTAATTATTTTAATGAATAATTTTTAGTATTTCGATAATGTATATCATCAATTTTTATTTAAGCAAAAATTATATTATAATGATAAATTTCATTGTAATTAACTATATAATTTAAATAGATTATAATATATTTACTAAACAGATATGACCATTGACAGATATAATGACCACTGTTTACTATTGACATCATTTGATTGGTCATTATGCACCTATCTTTCCCATATAAATGCATAAAGGCTATTATTAATTTTGCCCTAAATTTCGACAAATTTATAATAATTCAAATATGAATGAATCAAAGTAGAACTAATTAAATATAATTATTAATTTTTTAATTGAAATTTTTATTAAATAAAATTCATTCGAAAATAATATATTTACTATAAATAAACAATTAACAGAATGTGTTTAATAAACCAAAGAATATTTTCAATTTCTAAAATTAAATGTTTCTTCTTGACAGATTGAATTTTTCGAATTGTAAATTCAAATGGAAAAAAAAAGACGGAAATTCGTAGGTGACAATTTATTGTGTGTCGTTTTATTTGTTACAATGTAACACTAATATATGTTATTATCAATGATGTTGATGATGATGATAGTGATAGTGATTGATGATGATGACAATGATAATAATTATGATAATGATGGTGAAGATGATGATAATTGTGATAATGATGGTGATGATGATAATGATAATTATGATAATGATGGTGATGATGATAATAATTATGATAATAATGGTAGTGATGATGATGATAATTGTGATAATGATAGTGATGATGATAATGATAGTGAATGGTGATGATGATGACAATAATTATGATAATGATGGTGATGATGATGATGATAATTCTGATAATGATGATGATGGTGATGATGATGATGATGATAATTGTGATAATGATGATGACGATGATAATTGTGATGACGATGATGATGATGATAATTGTGATAATGATGATGATGGTGATGGTGATGATGACAATAATTATGATAATGATGGTGATGATGATGATGATAATTGTGGTGATGATGATGATGGTGATGATGATAATTGTGATGTTGATGACGATGATGATGATGATAATTATGATAATGATTGCAATTATCTTTTCTTCGAAGATATGTTGTTTATAGAAATTTTTTTGCAAAATTTCCCAGCACAAAAAAACTAAAAGTAAATATTGAAATTAATAATTTGTTTGGCAAATATAAAAAGAAGTATAAAATTTGTGATAATTTTTTAATTCTCAAAAGAACTCTTTCTGAAGTATCATTTCACTAGAATTCTAAAATTAATTCCAAATATAAAATAAATAGTTAATTAATCATTTTGCAATATTCCCTTTTATCCGATAATACTATGAAATTACTAATTACTTATAGAAATATTATTTATTCATTAGATGAATGTAGTAAATTGTGGTATATATGGTTGTGATGAATGTAGTAAATTGTGGTATATATGGTTATGATTGAAGAAGAACATATATTTTCCTTTATCAAATATTCCCAAAAAAAAAGAACAATTAAGTCAATTAATTGTTAAGTTTCAGATTTCCAATCTTTTTAAAAATTTTTTTAATTCCTAAAATTTTAATCTTTTTTCTAGCAAATCGTTCAGTTATTCGATGATATTTGAATAATAGGAAATATTTAAATGATATAATTAAAATCAAATTTAAATTCATAAAAGAAATTATTCGTTTGCAAAGTGAAAATTTGGTATTTATTTTAATGAAACAAAAGATATCGGAAATTGTAAACAATACTTTTCAAAAGTAAACAATGCATCTAATAGATAATTAAAAGAAATGATAATCAGAAGTAATTTTTGTAAAGGACTCTGAACAAATAATAGAGATATAATGTTAGTTGAAATACTAAATAAATAAGTGGGACACAACATAAGTTTAAATGCTAAACAAATAAGAGGAACACAATATAAGTTTGAATAGTAAATAAATAAGAGGAATAGAGTATAAGTTGAAATGCTAAACAAATAAGGGAAACACAATATAAGTTTAAATATTAAATAAATAAGAGGAATACAATATAAGTTTAAATACGAAATAAATAAGTGGAATAGAGTATAAGTTGAAATGCTAAACAAATAAGAAGAACAGAGTATAAGATAAAATACTAAACAAATAAGAGGAATAAAAGCTGTCGTATCATATCATATTATATTATCACATCGTGTTATCATATCATATATCATATCATCTTTAAAGTTGAAAGATAAAATGTCTATTTTAACTGTTATTATCAAAAAGCAAATATCGTTCCGTAGTTTCTGAACTAATTTAAAGAATAAGCGAAAATATTTGAATTTGATAATTTGAATATATTAAACTTCTGATAGCTTTAATAATATATCAAACTTTGAACTTCTGATAATATATCAAACTTCGAACTTTTGATAACATATCAAACTTTAACATGTTTGCTCTCTAATTCTTTGTTCTTTCAAAAAAGACCTTCGATTCGTACGGAATATATTTATATATTAAAAACTTCAAAGAACAAACATTTCAATTTCTCTTATCGTTCAATATATATATTTATACATTATAAATAAATTTTAATTAACGAAAATAATTCAAACATTCATTTTGAATTTTTAAAAGTTTCTTAAATTCCATAATACTAATTATAATTAATTGCAACAATTAATTATAACTAATTGCAACAACATTTAAAATTTTCATATCTAACAAGAAATATTGTAATTACGACGGATGCAAATAATTTCTATTCAACACTTTTACTCAAAATTGATTACATCATTTCTGAATATTTAATTGCTTTTGATATATTTATAGGCTAATATGCTACCTTTCAGGTGAAAACTAAAAAACCTATTTTTAGAAAGTTTATAACAAATTTTTTAAAAAGCAGAAAACTTAAAATGAATTATTGTTAAAAATAAAATTGGGCAAAAATGTTTTAAGATGCTGCAATTGATATTGCAAAAAATGGAATGCTAAATTAAACTAATTTGCATTTTGATGGATTGATGAAAAAAACAGGTGAAAAAATTAATTGAAATTGGCGGAAAAGAAGAAAGGAAAAAAAAGATGAAAGTAAAGGTGAATTCAACGGATATAATCGAGCATTATCATCAGTTTTTTTTTCCCTACAAAACATCAAAATATTACTGCAAAAAGATAAAATTTTTATTAATGAAATAATTAGTTAAAAAATATAAAACAAAAGTTTAAAAGTTCAAAGTTTAAATGAAACGAAAGGTGCGAAAGATTGGTAAAATATCAAAATAATTCAATTTGCTTCTAATTTTTTTCTACTTTTATTTTACCGCATTTTTGATCAAATCAATGGATATTTCGAAAAGATAAAAAGAATAGATAATGGAATAAAGAAATAAGAAGAATGATGAACAGCTGCCAACCTGTAGTGGTTTTTAAATTATAAGCAATGTGAGAGAAAATTACCGCTCAAGCTTATTATGCAAATGAGATATGACGATCTCTAAGGAATAGAAAAATCGTAAATTGATAAATGTATTGCGCATAGCGTATTTAGTATCATCGATACGATGATAATATTTAGATTTGTATTGTTGAAAAAAGAAAATTATAATTAAATTAGATTAATTAAAAGAAATAAATGAAAGGAAAAAATAATATCAATTAAAGTTTAAAATATTTTATAAATTTTAAAATGAAATGAAAAATGAATATGTAATGAAAGATTGGTAAAAATTTTGAGAAAAAGAAAAGAAATGAAGAAATTGTAAAAAGAAATTTAAAAATCGATTAAATTTAGCAATTTAAAATTCAATTCCACAAAATGATATCTTAATAATCTTACCTTTATTAATTAATATTAATGAAACAAAATGGATAATTAGTAAATAGGGCAAGTTTTGATTTGTTGAAAAATGAAACAATAAAAAGGAATAATTAAAGTAATAATATGAACAATAGCAACAACATATGGAAAATATTGGAATAAAATGTTGTAACCACTGTTTGTTTGCTATTATCCTTGTTTTTATTATTATTATTATTATTGTTGTTGTTGTTGTTGCTGTTATTGTTGTTGTTGTTGTTGTTGTTGTTGTTGTTGTTGTTGTTGTTGTTGCTACCACTACTACTACTGCTGTATTCTATAGATTCATAAGTATTTCGATAGAAAAATCATTCATTTTGTTGTTAATTACCAAATTATTCTCTCTCTCTCCTATTCTTCCTTCTCTCTCTCCCTCTCTCCCTCTCTCTCTCAATATAAAATTCAAAAATCGATTAAAGGAAGTGAAAATCATGAATGGGGTAATTAAAAAAACACATCAAAATTAACGTTTCTAATTAATCTTTTCTGCATAATGTAAAAAGACATTTTCTATGCGAGGGTTTAGGATGGATGATCATAAAATTTAATGAGCCTTAAGGCTAAATTTTATATTCTTCATTTTGACAACGAATAATTAAATTTATCCAATCTATCTGTTTGCTTCTAATTTATATTAATTTCTCAATATCTTTTTAAATTTTAATCTTTTCATTTTTTTTTAAATTTAAAACAATAAACAATTTTTTTTATTATAAATTTATTGCTAAAAGTTTGATTGAATTAAATTACACAAAATCAAGAACAATTAAATAAGGAAGAGAGAGAGAGAGAGAAAGAAGAGTGGGAGAGAGAGAATAATTTGATAAGTAATTAACAACAAAATGACAAAACAAAAGCAATCATAATCTTTTTTGAAATTTCAAATATTTAAATGAAATACTTAAAAATTTAAAACTGAATATTTAAATAAAACACTTTTCAAATATTTAAATGAAATTGATGAAATACTACAAAAGACTGGAAATAAATTCAGTATTTATATATCAAAAAAAATTTGAATAATGAATAATTTGAATAAATAAATTTGAATAATTTGAATAATTTGAATAATTGAAATCAAAAAAATAAAAAAAATTTGAATTTAAATAAATTTGAATAAAAAATTTGAATCAAAAAAATTAAATTTAAATTTAATTAAAATTCAAATAGTTTTTTTTGAAAGTTTTTGATTTCAATAAAATAAATTTAATTAAAATTGAAATATTTCTAAAATTTCACATTTAATTTTAGAAGAAAAGTAAAAATGTGGCAGGAAGGTAACGAAGAAATGGAATTATTGTTTTAAAAATTAGAAATTAAAATTTAAAAAGAAAAAACGAAAGCAATTAATTAATGAAATAAATGATTGATATGAAGAAAATAAATAAATATAATTATTAATAAAGAAAAATTTGATAATACATAAATTCGATAAACAAATTTATTGTTGAAATTATGAATTAAATTCATATTTTGAGTATGAATTCCAATTCAAGGAGAAATCAAATTTATATTGAAAAACTAAAAAAATATTATAATTTAATTGTGAATTCTATTTCAACTTAAATTATTCCATTTCATGCAACCGGAAAAATTCCATTTCATGCAACCGGAAAAATTCCATTTTATGCAACCGGAAAAATTCCATTTTATGCAACCGGAAAAATTCCAAATTATAATTGCATCTGCAATAAATTGCTATTTTTGTGAAATGAAATTTAAAAAATCCCATAAATTGACAGCAATATTTTAAAATGTCTCAGCTTAATATATTGTGTATATCATGCATTTACATATTATTCCTTATTATGTTAGCATGACTTCTTTGCATGCGATATGCGAGGAATATTGCATGCAAAATGCAAGAAACATTAGGCAATTTAAGATGCATCAATGAATAGGCACGCAAAATATTCATGGATAAATGATTGTAATATATATTCGATAAAGTATTATTCCTTCAATTCAATCAAAAGGAAATGATAATGTCCACTTGTATGTCTGAATTGAACAATGTCATCATCAGCTGGTCATTATCATATGAAAAGCTATAAGATTTCAACTGATACTGGACAGTGGTCACATTTGTACAGTTTAATGATAATCCACTTAGAAGGAAGATTACAACTAGCAATTGGAATTCATTAATTTCTTATAAATCTATTTGTAATAAAAAATTGATTTCACATTCATAATTTCTTTAATGAAACTTATTTAAAATGCAATAATATATGCTATCATTACATATTTAACTTATTAATTTAATAAGCTATCATTAATTGATAAGTCATTTAATAAGTTTTATTAATTAATAAGTTTATTTCATATGTTTTATCAACTGATAAATGATTTAATAAGTTATTATTAACTGATAATGATTTAATAAGTTATTATCAACCGGTAAGTTTATTAAATAAGTTTTATTAATTGGCAAACGTAAACACAAATGACAAATGATAATAAATATAAATAATAAATTTAAATAAGTAATAAATATGTATATAAAACAATCAAAATAGATTCATTATAAATAATGAATATATTATCAAATAAACACAAACATTATAAACATTAATAATACTTTCGAATTTTGATTACTTTTGCAATATTAATAATAAATAATAAATAATACCTTAAAATATCAATTAATCTATTTCGATTAATTACCTTTGCAATATTTCTATTATTTTCAATAAATTCATAATTAATATATTCCGTGATATAGAACTAATAATTATCATTTCAAAGGTGATAGATTTATATTAGCTGAAAAAAGAATATTAATTACCATGCTTATTATTAGAAATAATTTTTTAAAAATTTTTTTAAAAGTGAAAATTGAAGAATTATCAAATTTTGCATTTTATTTATCAAAAATAAATTCTTATAAAACAATAATGAGAAATATTTGTTATCTTTAAAAATAATTTAATTAATCGAAACAATTATGATAACATATCAGAAAGATAATCAATGAATATCATTTCTTATCAGCGATTATAATTTCGATTGAAACTACCAAATTATTATTTAAAATAGTTATTTAAACAGGTTAAATTTTATTAAGTTGTACTTGTGATATTTATACAAAATTTAATGTATTTCAATATGCTGCCTAAAAAGGGAAGAGAATATAGGCGTAGGCATAGGCATAGGCGTAGATTTATTTAAACTACAACAGATTTGTGGTAGAAATTGTTACGTTTAAATTTTTGAAATTATTAAATTGTTTTTTTTTAATTACAGGATTGACTAAATGAGTTCCATATTTATTATTAAATTTATTCGATAGCTTTTATTATATTATTCAATCATAAGCATAATTTATAAGTTTATTTTAAATGTTTAATTTATTCATTTGTGATTTACAGCCATTCAAATCGTATTTACAACGCAGCGATAAGTAAATTTTCCATTCCTAAAATTCTTCTTTCATAATTGTAAAATTGAAAATGAAGTTTAAAATTGACATTGAAATTTCATTGAATGATATTTGAACTTCAATAATAGCAATTTGCATTTAATAAAGTTAAACTTTTGCCATTGTAAATATATGATGGAATATTAAAATTATTCAACTGATAGTATCTGAATGAATAATTTCAAATGTGTAAGTTAAATAAAAGTGACACTTTTCAATTTCCATTACTTTTATGGGACAATATCCTAAATTTCATCAAATTTACCGCATTGTATATACCGTATCGATCAATTAATTATTCATTAATTTCATTCAACTATCGAATAATAATTAAAAGGAAATTTTTAAATTGACATCTTGAAATTTTAAAAATTTAAAATGAAAATTATTAAATGATATATTTTCAAAAATTCATTATGTGGGTATGTGTGTGTAAATTATTGCTGTCAATAATGAAATGTTAAAACTTTGATGTATTAAATAGATTTACATTGTAATTGTTTAAATTTTTCAAGTAGCAAAATTTCGCCAAATTTAAATAACTCCAGAATTTAAATTAGAATTTAAATTTATACTTGTTATGTATCATTGAGGCAAATTTTTAAAAGTAAAATGCATTAATTGTTTATTGTTTAAAATCAGCCACTGATAATTTCATCAATCAATAAAATCAAATGTATGATTGCTTAATTTGTTAATTAATCAAATAATATTTTGCAAAGCCATTTCGCAAATTCCATTTCGCCATCAATTTCGCAAATTTTAATACCATGTAAGATGCAGAAAATGATTAAATATTTTGATTAAATGATAATAATTATCAAAAACCAACAAATGCTTAACAATGAATAACTCTAAGAGTTAAGATTTTGATTAAAATAAAATGATATAGCATTTGATGAAAAATGAAATTCGATGATATAAAAATTTTCCAATTAATAACTTCAAAAAAAGAAGGAAAGTGATATTGATAAAGAAATATGATATTATCAGTTTATCCAGTGATGAAATTTCTTCAACGATCAATGCCACATTTTCATTTCCTAAAATGAAAATTAATTTCAACAAAAAAAAGGATCATAAATATTTCATTAAAGAAAGTAAAATATTATGATGCTAATTAAAATTTTTATTGTCTTAAAAATTCAATCTTTATTTCAACATGTAAAAAGAAAGAAGTAAATTTTCTACTAACCAATTTATGGGTTATTTGTAGCTGGATGATGCTCATCAACAACATCATGTTTGTTATTCTTTTGTAGCTTAACATCTTTAGGATGACGATCCTCAGTATTACTATTATTATCACTGTGATACTTTTGGTCATATGGTGAAACAGTCGATCGTAATTTCAGTAATTTTGATTCAGTTTTCCCATGACTTTTCAACGTTTCATCGGTTTTATGAATTTCATCCGTTCCATGACTTTTCAGCGTTTCATCGGTGGTTCTATGAATCTCATCGACTCCATGACTTTGCAGCGTTCCATCAGTAGTTCCATGAATTTCATCGATTCCATGAATTTCATCAATTGCATGAAAATGATGCGGATGTGCAGTAGTACCACCAGTTGTAGTACTACTACTATTAGCAGTGGTAGTAATAGAAGCAGTAATAGTAGCAGTTGTATTAATAATATTAGTGGAATTAGTAATACTACTAGTAGTATTAGCAATAGTAGTACCATTTATCGTTTCCTCATCACTTTCCGTAATATTTACTCTATCATCTTCCGCTTCAGCTGCGGCAACTTCAAATGCTAATCCCGATTCAGTATTTATAGTGGTCAAATGCTGCAAATTATCATTTATAAAATTTAATAATCAACTGTTTTTTTTGTTTTTGAAAATAAAAAATTTTTGCATTTTAAACAAAAGATTTTAGTAATAAAGTAAAATTTTTGTTTATTAATTATTTTATAATTATTCTTTAATTATATATTAAATAATCTCATAGTTATTGATATATATGCAAATTATGCAAAATGACATACCACTGAAGTGATGCAAAATGAGAGGAAGATGAGTAGAAGTATTTTTTCCATTGATGAATAAGTTGAAGAGTGAAGAGAATTGAATCTGATAATGATACGATTAAAATATGATAATTCATTTTGGAAGTGGTAATTCGACGACAATGTTTAAAATGAGCTAATTAATTTTTAATGCATAATTTTCTTATACTAAAAATAGTATTTTTAAATGATCAATTTGTTTAGGTTAATTTTGAAAATGAAAATTCAACAATTTCTAATTATCCTTTTAAGGGATAAAAGATAGAGAGAGAGAGAAAGGTATTGTTAGGGTTAAAAGAAAATTGTGTACTTCCGCAGAAGGAAATTTGGATAAGAATGGACGGAGGATATTTTGCTGGCGAGCGCTAGTGAAAGGAGGTCAGCTGATAAGTAGACCATTCAACCAGATGACCCGATGTCATTTGTTGCAAATGATGGAAAACTCACTCACAGAAAATCTTAGTAATGGCATAAGCAAAGGACATTCGTCCACTGACCGACTCCGCCTATCGTCTATTACAATTGTCCAAAATATTCGATGATATATATTATATATATTTGTCGATAATGCCCGGGAAGTTCACAAAAGTAAATAAAATATTTGATATTATGAATAAATGCATAATTTCATAATTTCATTTATTCAAATTTAATTATAGAAAATAATTAAGACAATGTATAATTAAGAAAGATCGAAAATAAAAATTAATTAATTGAAATATTTGAAAATTTAAATTTTTTGTAAAATAAATTTAATTCTGTAAAAGCAGATCTAAATTGTAATTATATTCAAATATAAGAATGATTAAAAATGTTGCAAAGCTATTTGAAATTTAATTTTGCAAAACAAAACATCAATTTTAATTATATTAAGAATATCTAAATTTTAATTACTAAATTAATTATTTAATTTTGATTATATTAAGAATATTTAAAAATTAGGCTAAATTTTAATTATTGAATTAATTATTTAGAATATTTTGAATTTCTATTTTGGCTGCAATTATTATCATAAAATAAAATAAAAATAATTTTGATTTAACAATAAGTAATTTAAATTTTAAAATAATATAATTTAAACAAAGGAAAATTTTGAAGAATAGCAAGCAATATTTGTTGTTTTAAGTAGAAATTTACACTATCATTTGAATATTTTGGAATTTTTAAAAGTTTAAAAAAAGTTTTTTTTATAATTTTAAAAATTACGTGAAAAGAAGAAATCACACATTTTTAAATTATTTTAATGAATGTTAAAGTTAAAAAAATTTCCTTCAAACTTATAAAATTTGAAATTATTAAATTTGAAAGGTTTGATTTAATTTATTCGTTGATAAATGAAATTACTAAAATTCTTAACAAATTTAATCGCAAATTTAAATTTTAATATGAGATATTTATTAATTGATATAATTTATTTATAGATTTTCATTCTTATATTATTACCGATAATTATAATTAGATATTGTACATTATAATCAAGTATATTATCAATAATTATAATTAAGTATTATACTGTAATATTAAATACCGTACTATGAGAAGAGAAGAAATCAAAAGTTTCGGATCTACAAGTAAAGTTTTTCGTATCTTTTCTGCTTTATTCATTAATTATCCTAAGCCTAAAAGTAATATATCTTTTTCATTAATTATTTATTAATTATTAATCATTAATTAATTAATCGTTAATTGTTTATTAATGCTAATATCGATATTTTTCTTTTCTCATCAAACATTTGAACTTGTGAAAAAAAAGAGAAATATCGATATTATTACAATCCTTAAATCATTTTACTAGCTAAAATTGAAACTTACTTAGTCGATTGATCAATTCAATCAATTATTTGATCAATTTAATAACTCAGCTATTTTGTTGATTATTTAAATAATCAGTTAATTAATTAATTAATCATTCATTTTAATGATAGATTAATTCTTAGTATATTTCAGACCACATTTTAATAACTGACCAACTCATGTAGCCCGGTTAGCTCAGTCGGCAGAGCACCAGACTCTTAATCTGGCTGTCGCGGGTTCGAGCCCCGCATCGGGCTTTCATCTACTTCAGTTTTCTCACAATATAATCTTTTAATATGCTTTAGATTTACGCTACACATATACCCAACCATATTTCAAATTGTCCTATAATTTTATCAACGATCATTATCAATTCTTTAAACATATCATTTCGAAGATTTAGTATTTTCAATGATATAGTTAAGAATCGATGTAAACAATAATTTAATCATTTACTACAATCTAAAAGCATGCTTTTAATAGGAACGATGAAACATAGAGGTCATCATCGGAAATATGTTATTATTGACGATCGTTGAAACTGATAAAGGTCATAGATAAATATCGGACATTTCAATAGTACGGGGTATGTGATTTGATTGATTGTCAACATAATGTGTAATATCCTCTCAAGGTCACAATATTCCTTCTTCAGAAAAGAAATATTATTAATCCTTCATTTCCATTCATTCTTTTTTATATTTTTATCAAAAATAATTTTACTTATAAATAATATTTAAAACAAAAGAACAAAAATGAAATTAAATAAAATAAAATGTTTGCAAAATTCTTGCCGAATAATTTTTTGTTTAAAATTAATTAATAAAAATATTTCAAAACAAATTAATTAGTATAATTATTAATCAATTAATGATAAAATGATAAAAATTCATATTTACATATCAATTTTATATTAAAATTAAAAATGAATTGATATGATATATCATTCTTGAAATTAAATTTTATAAATTATATTTTTCCTTTTCTTGTATTATCATACTTTTGTTGAAACGCAATGCTGTTTTTCTTGATATCATTATCATGCTTTAAATTTAAATGACCAGATAATTGATTATCATTTTTAAAATACTTCAATATGAATCTGTAAAATCGATTATCATATGAAATTGATTATCATTTTTAAAATACTTCAATATGAATCTACGATAATCAATCCATTTGTTATCATGTTAAAAAGTATTGAAATTTTTGAACGATAATGTTACTTCTACAGGTGGAAATTATTTTGTTGCTTCTAATAATGCGATTGTTCGAGTAGTAAGATGTCAAGAGAGTAATAAGTCAGGAATAAATTAAAATAGCATATTCCATCGTAGACCATTGACCTTTGACTTTACGTATGAACAAACACATAAACACATAAATACACATATGTATATATAGGTGAAACATTATTAATTATAATTTAATGCATCACATAATTCATTTCTAGGTGAAAACTATTTTGTTGTTTCTAATAATATGATTGTTTGAATAGCAAGATGTCAAGAGAGCAGTAGGTTAAGAAGGAATCAAAATATATCCCATCACAGACCTTTGACCTTACATGTAAACAAATGCACATACACACATGTTAATCAATATACAGCAATTAGTTTTACATACACAATACACATACACATATATAGATATTCGCAGACCTTTGACCTTACATATAAGCAAATGTATGTCTACTGTGATTAATCAATATACAACAATTAGTTTTACATGCATACACAGATAAAAATTCCCTAATAGTTTTAGCATACTTAGATGTCCAATCTCTCATGAAAATTTCATTTAACGAATTAACAATTGTTGGCGAGATGAAAGAAATTCCAACACCAGCAGTGCTGATGAAGTAATCACC